GTCATAAAGAAGCTGGCTCCAGAGCCACACCAATGAAGAATTGTGACCTTAGGCAACTTACTTCACCTATGTCCTCCTCTGTTTCCTAAACACTAAAATGGGCCCATGTTGGGTAGACAGGGGAAAGTCCTTTCTCTTCACCTCAGGTTTTTAGGAGGAAGAGAGGACCCTAAAGATTCCTGGCTCCCGCTCCCTCCTCCTTCCTTCCCTGCCGTCAGAGGGACAGCGAGTTACCCAGGGGTGGGGGGTGGAGGAGGGGGGTGAAGAACATCTGTTGCTATACAGATTTTGTTCGAGTGGCGCTAACCTATCAAAAGTCCCAAGTACCGCAGGTCCCATCCCTTTTTGGTCCTTATCTCACCAGGATAAGTGAAAGGACATCATCATCCACGCAGCTCCCCTGCAAGCCCCACATGCCCACCAAGTGGGCTTCTCCAAGGACTAACTGGGAGGCAAGAACATGAAGAAGCCCAATGTTGTCGCCCCCTAAGCCTTGTTCTCCAATGCAACATCCATCAGGATTTTAGCGGACCCTCGCTGCTTTGCATTACTGATGGGTCCCCTCAAGCTCCACCAATCATGGTGCCTCCCTTGGACAATCCTGGTGGCAATTACTGCGAGGATATAAAATGTAAAGTGTCTGGAACAGATTACATGCTCAATAAATGTTTGCCGCTGCAATTATGCATGGATATTTCACTTTTTAAAATCACATAAGCTCTCATTCTCTAAGTTTCCTTGTCTGTAAAATGTCATTAATTATTTTGCAGATTAGGTAAAAAAAAAAATAGAGATGTTGGCACTCAGTAATCATTACCTCCCATATCCCAGTTGAAAAGTATTATTCTTATAAATGCCTTTCGAGCATATAAATGCATCCGCAGACAATACAAGAATGTTTTACAAATGCTTGGCTACAGGATAGGTCTCCCAAATTGTATGTGACATGTGAGATAATTGATAATTGCATAGCTGAGATATTATCTGAGATAATTGATATGTTGCATAGCTCTCTCTCAAGGCCCTTGCTGAATGTTCTCTATTCGATAAAGACTTTAGTAGATCATCACCACAGGTCCCGAAGAACCATGTCCTCTCCTATTTTACCCTGTGTATAAATGATCTTTATTTGCATAAAGGTGCAGTGGGATTTGAAGACAAAAAATCTGAACTCTGTCAACGGGACCAGCCAATTACAGACTTCATGCTCTCTGCCTCGGTTGTCTTCGACGTCAAGTGGTTGCAGATAATGCATCTCACAGGGTTGCCCTGAGAAGCGTGCCTGGAGATACACATGACGGTGCCTGGGAAACAAGGATGTGCTATAAAAAGAATGTTGTGTGGAGAGTGAGCCCAGGCTAATGAGACACGGCAGGAGGCCACCTCATCTGTGCGCACGTGAGTTCAAAGGAACTCAAAACTCAAGAAAACTGATGCGATCTGTAGCTGTTTCAAGATATGCAACCAGCTGCCTTCTCCTCGTAAAGTCAATTTGCAAGACATCAGGAGTTTCAGTGACTCCAATTCTGGAATTCATGGCTCTGGAGCTATTGCTGTCATTATTACTATCCTCTTTGGGCTCCCATGATGTGCTGGGGCCGAGGGAAGGGACAGGCAGAAACCACTGCAGCTTCTCCCTTCAAGGGATGGCATCATTCACTTTGAGATGAAATGGTGCTATTGTCTGTGAGAACACCTTGATGTGTCCTTTTGGTGGAGGAAGTCAGGCGCCCTAAGCTGAGTCCAGATGAGAAGAAGGGGAGGCAAAGAGAGAGAAGGTGTGCTTTATATCCCAATGGGAGGACACCGCAGCCTGGGAAGCTAAGGAATGGGAGAAAAGTAGAGTGGGAGCATTAGAGACCCCAACAACGTGGCAGCAGGAGGGGTCATGAGGAGCTAGAGGACCCTGGTGCTGTTCTGTGCCCTCTGATGATAAACTGTACCCCAAAGCCGTTCCTGAAAGCATCTTATAACTAGTAGCTTCCTGAAAGCAGTGCACAGGGCACGCTAAAAGAGAGAGAGTAAGAAGCAGAAGCTAGCCTGGCCCAATGAAGGGAAAGAGGGCCTGCATTCTGGGAGGCAGGTGGGTGCCCAGGCCCCCCCACAATACCCAGGGGAGCCGGAAGTGAGAGAGGTGAGCGGGGATGTGTGAGCCCCTATACTTCACGACTACGGGATCTCAGAAATCCAGGGGCCAAGACCAACTGCATCCTGTGGGGCCTCAGACAGTCATGTTTAAATTTTAAAGGAAGCCATGTTCCCAGAGGATGCATAACTTAAAGCTCTGGGAGGCAGATTTCTGGGCTACACTGAACTGGTTTATCTTCTCTTTAAAACATGAACTGGGGAGGAAGCAGAGAGAAGACTGGAGGCAACCCCCTCATCCTGGTCACAAGGAAGGGGAGATGCTGGGCATCTCAAACAGCTCACGGGCATCTCGAACAGCTCACCAGTGTCCCGAGCAAGGTAATTTGATAGGGTGCAGTAACAGGTTTTGTTTACTGGTTACTTGGTTTACAACTGTTGCGTTTTCAGGAATAGGGAAATCTAAGCGTACTTTACTGCCTAGACTCTGGGCATCTTCTCACTCCTCAGCTTGGGAACTGCAGGGGGAAGCAGGGGGAAGGAACATGGCTGGTTCTACCTCCCTCCCCGCTCCACATTTTCCTCCACTTCATCTCCCCTCTGGGCTCCTCCAGTGTCCAGGAGGAAGGAAAGATAAGAGGAAAGAGGCAAAAACTATCTTTTTTCTTTTTAGCTTGGGTATTGGAGGACATCTTGGTTGCTAAGTGTCCTGTTACAGCAGACGAGCAAGTCCCAGCCCTTTCTGGTGGGAAGACTCGGGGGTGGGGCTTGAGCACCCCCAGCCCACCCTGTGGGGCCACCCTACACGTTTGCCCAGCATCGAGACAATCCCTGCTCTTGCAGACTGTTCCATATTGCTGTGTTGACCTGGTGATCCTCCTAATTGGCTTAGGTTGGGGAACCCTGTTCCCCTCCTCTTTTGGGGTGAGGGAACAACAAATTACCAAGTCTTTGACCTCTCAGAATTGTCTTTGAAGACACCTCCACAGTGGCTCTCCAGCCCTTCCCCCCACACAAGGTGATGATACTCATTGGATGTGCGTGCGCACTTCACAGTGAAATGGGCCCTCAGACCGCATGCGGCACTTGCCATCCATGTGATCTGGGCCAATTTGCTTTATCTCTCAATTCCTTAGTTTCTTAATTCATAAAACGGGGATGAAGCTAATTGTATCTACCCCAGGGGTGATGTAAGGTTAAAACAAGTAAAAGCAGTGTCTGTCCATAATCGTAAATGTTAGCTACTCTTTTTATGATAGTCCTCAGCGGTGGGTTCTTAGGCAAAACTCTGAAGCCCTGGAAAATAACCCCCATAATACCTTGTATCACTCAGATGGCTTCTAGTTCAATCACCTCATCTTCTCATGAGGAAAGACACCCAGTCTTCCCTGATGTTTTCTCCTCCTCTGTGTCCACATTCATGACTTGGATTATATATTTTGGAATGTGATTGCATTTAGTTTACCATTTGATTATAACATGTGTAATCCTTCTCTCTAGAATGGGATGCTGAATAAGACTTTTCTTATTTCCTAGGAATTAAGGCTTGGAGCTGAGAACAAGGAAGCCCTAATTACCCACATTCTAAAGAGGACTGTAAACAATTAGAGTCGGACTTTTCTCCCAGGGCTTGGGAAGGGGTTGAAGGACCTGCTCTATAGCAACCTTCAAGCATCCCACTCTCCTCTCCAGGCTACAGAGGGAGAGAGAAAGGGCAGGAGCAACTGTCCTTGCTGGTTTGGCTGCCCGATAAAATACAGAACATGCAGTTAAACTTGAATTTCAGGTAAACAAATAATTTTTTACTAGAAGCATCTCAAATATCACAAAGGACACACTTATACTAAAAAAAAAACAAACAAACAAAAAAACAACACTAGTCATTTATCTGAAATTCCAACTTACCTGGGTGTCATGTATTTCTGTTTGCCGAATCTGGCAACCTTATAAGTGAGAAGGGCAGTATTTTTGGTCAGAGGGGATCCCGTGCCCTCTGAGATGGCCAGGGTAAAGCCTATCCCCTAGGAAAGCATACACACTCCCCCTCAGAGACCACCAGCTTTGCAGAAATTACTGAGAGCAGATCAAGAGACAGACCAGACCAGGAATGTCTCTTCACCACCATCATATGGTCAGTTGCAAAATAGAATCCCCGCCTCCCCGAGCCCAGAGAGGCTGGACCTAGACAAAGAGGAGAGAGGAAATTTCTTCTCATTTTAGGACAGGGAAGATTATGATCTCCAGTAACACACACACACACACACACAAACACACACACACACACAATGGCAACAAAGGACCAGGAGAAATGAAAGTGCAGATCACATGATCTCATACCCCTTCCCATGTCAGGTTACTTGATACAAAGGCTAAAAATGGATATCAGGTTGAGTTTTAATCTGGAGCCCACTTTTAATGATCAGGAAAGGCCAGAACTTCTGCCTCCGGGGAAGTGGGAGAGAGGTACTTTATCCTATCCCACCCACTAAGTATAACTAAGAACCCTGGATGCTGTACATAAAACAAACAAAAGGAGACCAAACAGTAGAAAGAAGAAGACGGACAAATGAACAAGCCAGGAACCTCATGACCGAGGAACAATACAGTGATGCAGTCCCTGGTTTTTTGGTTTGCCTGTTTGTCTGCCTCACATAGCCTGGGCTGGATACTGGAGAAGCTGGTAACCCAGAATGCCAATAGGCACAGGCAAAAAAAGGAAGAAATAAAAAAGCAGGCCCATGAAAAACCTGCTCTTTTTAGCCAAAGGATCTGAAAAGGGGTCACCTAACAAGGTAACACACTTGCAGACAATGATTTCTCTACTCTCGTCAAACACCACAGGAAAAAAAAACCTGTTGAACCTACTCTCAACCCCACCAACAAAGGCCACAGAGAGAGCACAGACTCCACTCTTGCAGGGTTAGAACCAGGCATGCAGCTCCCCTGCTGGGGTCATGTCAGACAGCTGAGGGGAGAGCCAAGACTTTCCTCAGGACTCAGCAGTGAGCCCCTCTCTCTAAGCCCCCTCCCCTCCTCTGAGGTGTCAATGGGGACCACTTGGGGAGGCTGGACTTCCACTCCACTCAGCAGTAATGAGAAGTTCCTCCCCCTCTGCACTGGGTTGGCATCAGAGAAGACCCAGAAAAGAGTCAGGACTTACTGAGGCTTACTCCACCCATAGAGGGTCCAGAAAGGCCATGAAGGAACAGCAGTGAGGTGTCCTTCCCGCTCTCAGATGAAGTAGTATCAGCAGAGGCCCAGTGGGAGCCAGAATCCCCACACCCTCAGCAGTAGTAAGGAACACCTCCTTCACCCACAGATGCCCATGGGGTCTGAATGGAGAAACCACAGTTCCACCCCCTCTGGCAGTAATGAGGTACTACCACACTTCACCCATCACACTAGTTTCAGAGGCTACTTGCTAACCTAGAAGAAATAAATAACATCCTTAGAAGACTCTTCTGGCATACTATCCAAAATATCCTGGTTTCAACTGAAAATGGTACTTCATTTCGAGAACCAGGAAGATCTCAGACTGAGTGCAAAACAATACAATCAATAGATACCAACCCTGAGGTGAAGATGATGTTTGAATGATCTGACAAGAATGTTACAGCAATCATTATAAAAATGCTTTAATGAGCAGCTGTGAACACACTTGAAACAAATGTAAAAATGGAACACTTCAGCCAAGAAAGAGAAGATATATAAAGGAGCCAAACAAATTCTAGAACTGAAAAGTAAATAATGACTCAAGGAAATTCTCTAGAAAGGCTAAATTCCTTTCTCCAGAAAGGAAATAGTAAAAGAAGGACTCTTGGAACACCTGGAAGAAGATAGAAACACAGAAAGAGCAAAAGTGTCAGCAAATACAACAGACTTTCTCCTCTTGAGTTTTCTAAATTATGTTTGATGTCTCGAGCAAACATTGTAACAGTGCTTGATGTAGTTCTCAATGTATACAGAGGAAATACCTAAGATGATTATATTATAAAGGAGGGAGGATAGAGGGACATAAGGACAGGTAAGATTTCTACATTTCACCCAAACTGGTGAACTGTTGACACCTTCAGATTATGATAAATCATGTATATACAGTGTAACACCTAGGCAAACATTGAAATAACTACACAAAGATACAGACTCAAAAGTATTACAGCTAAATCAAAACTAGAACCCTAAAAAATGTTCAAGAAACCCACAGAGGGTCAAGAAAAAGAAAAGAAGCAAATAAATAAATAAATAAATAGAACAAACAGAAAACAAAAAGTAAAATGGCAAACTTGAAACTTAACATAATAATAATTACATTAAATGTAAAATGTCTAAATATAACAATTAAAATAAAGAGATTAGGAGAGTGGATTAAAAAAGAAACATGACTCAACTATATGCTGCTATGCAAAATCACTTTAAATACAATGATTTACACAGGTTGAAACCAAAAGAATAGAAAAAGATATACCCTGGAAACATTAACAACAAAAGAGCAGAAGTTGCTATATTAACATTACATAAAGTCAAGGAGTTAACAGAGACAGAGAGGGACTTTATACAATGATAAAAGGGTAAGTCCACCAAGAAGACATAACAATCCTAAATGTATGTGCACCAAACAATAAAGATGAAAAATATATGAAGCCAAAGATGATAGAACTGAAAGGTGAAACAGACAAATCCAAAATGATCATTGGAGATTTTAACACCACTCTCTCAACAACTGATGGAACGATTACACAAAAATTAGCAAAGATATAGAAGTCAACAATACCATCAACCAACAGGATACAATCGACATGCATACAAAATTCCAGCTAACACCAGCAGAATCACATTTTTCTTATGTGCCCACAGAATATATATGAAGGTAGAGCATACTGTGGGCTATAAAACAAAATTCAACAAATTTAAATAATTTAAGTCATGCAAATTATGTTTTCTGACAGAAATAGAATCAAGCTAGAAATCAATAAAAGTAAAGTAACAGGAAAATTTTAAACACTGAATTTTCAAACACTGAAAACCAAGCAACCCACTTCTAAATAATCTGTGGATGAAAAAGGAAGTCTCAAGAGAATAAAATACCTTGAATAGGATAAAAGTGAAAATACTACATATAAAAATATATGGGTCTCAGAGCAGTACTGAGAGGAAAATTTATAGCACTGAATGTTTACATTAGTAAAGAGGAAAAATCTCAAATCAATAATCTAAGTTCTCACTCCAAGAAACTTAAAAAAAAAAAAAAAACTCAAAGTAGGCAAAAGGAAGGAAATAACAAAGGGTCAGGATTTATAAAATTTAGAACAAAAAAGCAATGAGCCAATCAATGAACCAGAAAGCTGGTTTCTTTTGATTGACAAACCTCTAGCATGAGTGACAAAGAAAAACAAAGACTCTCAACTACAGAGAACAACCAGGTGGTTGCAGAGGGAGGTGGGTGGGGTGTGGGAGAAATAGGTGAAGGGGATTAAGGAGTGCATTTGTCGTGATAAGCACTGGGTGATGTATGGAAGTGCTGAATCATTACAGCATACACCTGAAACTCACAGAACACCATATGTTAATTACACTTCAATATGGAATGCTGCGAGCAACATGGCGGAGGAGTAGGAGACCTGGATTTCGTCTCCTCTCAGGAATTCAGCTGGATAGGGATCAAACCATTCTGAACACCTACAAACCCAACAGGAGATCGAAGAAAGGAATAGCAACAACTCTCTGAACAGAAAAGCGACCACTTTCTGGAAGGTAGGACGTGTGGAGAAGTGAATCTGAGGCGATATTCGGGAGGATAGACAGCGGGGGAGGGGCCTCCATCGGCCGCTTCTGGCAAGTGATAGAGTGCCGGAGCACAAAATTGGAACATTTATTTATTTATTTTTTTATTCTTATGTTAATCCCCATACATTACATCATTAGCTTTAGATGAAGTGTTCCATGATTCATTGTTTGTGCATAACACCCAGTGCTCCATGCAGAATGTGCCCTCCTCAATACCCACCACCAGGCTAACCCATCCTCGCACCCACCTCCCCTCTAGAACCCTCAGTTTGTTTTTCAGAGTCCATCGTCTCTCATGGTTCGTCTACCCCTCCGATTTCCCCCGCTTCATTCTTCCCCTCCCGCTACCTTCTTCTTCTTCTTTTTTTTTTCTTAACATATATTGCATTATTTGTTTCAGAGGTACAGATCTAAGATTCAACAGTCTTACACAATTCACAGCGCTTACCAGAGCACATACCCTCCCCAGTGTCTATCACCCAGTCACCCTATCCCTCCCACCCCACCCCCCACTCCAACAACCCTCAGTTTGTTTCCTGAGATTAAGAATTCCTCATATCAGTGAGATCATATGATACATGTCTTTCTCTGTTTGACTTATTTCACTCAACATAATACCCTCCAATTCCATCCACGTCGTTGCAAATGGCAAGATCTCATTCCTTTTGATGGCTGCATAATATTCCATTGTATATATATACCACTTCTTCTTTATCCATCCATCTGTCGATGGACATCTTGGCTCTTTCCACAGTTTGGCTATTGTGCACATTGCTGCTATAAACATCGGGGTGCACGTACCCCTTCGGATCCCTACTTTTGTATCTTTGGGGTAAATACCCAGTAGTGCAATTGCTGGATCATATGGTAGCTCTATTTTCAACTTTTTGAGGAACCTCCATACAGTTTTCCAGAGTGGCTGCACCAGCTTGCATTCCCACCAACAGTGCAGGAGGGTTCCCCTTTCTCCGCATCCCCGCCAACATCTGTCGTTTCCTGACTTGTTAATTTTAGCCATTCTGACTGGTGTGAGGTGGTATCTCATTGAGGTTTTGATTTGGATTTCCCTGATGCCGAGCGAAAATCGGACAAACAATGAATAATGGAACACTTCATCTAAAGCTAATGATGTAATGTATGGGGATTAATATAAGAATAAAAAAATAAATAAAAGTTCCGATTTTGTGCTTTAAAAGTCTGCCCCACTGAGGGACGTCACTCTGGTGGCTAAGCGGAGGGTGGAACCCTCCGGGACAGTGTGGTCTCAGGACCCTCGGGGTCACAGAAAGACCGGGGGTGCCTGAGTGTGGCAGAGCTCCCAGGCATCAGAGCAGGGAAGCCGGCTGCAGAGGCGGAGCCCAGGTGCGGGGTCTCAGCTCGGGGTTGCCATAAACCGTGATCCGCGGCACAGTTGGGCCACTGCTCCTCCAGCAGGGACCCAACAAGCAGCAGATCCGGGAGACTCACCTTCCTCCCCCGGGAGGAGCCGCATGGGAGTGCACCGCAGGGATCTGCTGGGTTTGGAGACTCCACCCGGGGTCGGGTGCCAGAGATAGAAACATGCGGTCACAGGCCGGTGAGCACGGAGTGCGGCCAGAGACCGGGGAGACGGGAGTGACTGACAGCTTTTCTCTGGGGGCTCACTGAGGAGCGGGGCCCTGAGTTCTCCGCTCCTCCGGGGCAGAGATTGGGAGGCCGCCATTTTCACTCTCCACCTCCAAAGGTACGGAAAGCTCGCAGGGAACAAAAGCTCCAGAGAGCAAACCCGAGCAGATTACTTAGCCAGGAGGGGGCAAGGGCGGGGCAATTCCGCCTCCGGCAAAGACGTTTGGAAACCACGGCAACAGGCCCCTCCCCCAGAAGATCAGCGAGAACAGCCAGCCAAGACCAAGTTTACCGATCAATGAGAACGGCAGATCTCCAGCGCTAGGGGACTACTGCACATAGAATTCATGGCTTTTTTACCATGATTCTTTAGTCTTTCAAAGTTAATTTTTTTAACTGTCTTTTTTTCTTTTCTTTTTCTTTTTGAATTTTTCTTTTTCCCTTTTTCAACCAACATCTTATCAATCCCTTTTAAAAAAAAAAAAACATTTTTATTTTTCATTTTTAGAGTCCTATTCTATCCCTTCATAGTAGTTACCCGTATTTTTTGGCTTATATATATAAGTTGTTCTCTCT